CTCTTTATTTTCCTGAGATAAGCAATGAACAAGAGGAAGTCCTCGCCTTCAGAGTCTGCAGTCTAGTTGGGAAGGAAGAGCATAAGCAAGCACACACACACACACACATTCATAGACAGGGACGTGGGTTTAGACACTGGTGTGAATGTGGAGAATTAGGTCATGGACAGACGACTGCCGTGTCAAATCCCAAGTCAGGGTCCAGGGCAGGGAGGAGTTGTGGGAGCGCCTGCTTTACAGAGAGTGGCTGAGGAGGGTCTCTGAGCCGGTGGCATTGAGTCCCGGAGACCTGAAACAAGCTCGGAGGGGGTCCTGCCTGAGGTGTCCTGGGATAGTGTTTCTGGCAGACAGACACACGGACGTGGATGCCCTGAGAAGGCATTGTATTTGGGGGGAGGGGGGCGCTTGGGTTGAGTGAGGGATGGGGAACGTCAAAGGTCAAGTCAAGTAGGGGCTTTGGCGCTTTCCCTAAGAGTCGTGGAAGGCTGTCTGGGGTTCTCACCACAGCAGCAACACGATCTCGCTCCAGCTACGTGTGGAGAGAATGAATGGAGGGAGGTAAAGACCAAGAGTGCTGGGGGGAGGCTCGGGGAGAAGGCTGGGTACGCAGGGGTCCTGGCACGTGGGAGAAGGATGGTGGCTGCATTAGAGAGGTAGCGTTGGCAAAAAAGGGAAGCAGCTGGATCCAGGACATAGTTCCATGGTGAAGTGGGTAGGATTGGCTGGTGCACTGGATACAGGGTAGGAGGGAGGAACCACGGGTGACTCCGGTGTCACCCATGCATTTGGCTGAATGGTACTGAGAAGGGATAGGAGGATGAGCAGGTTTGATAAAGGGTATTTTCAAAAACCCTCACCCAAAAATATGTTTTCATTAATTTTTAGGGAGAGAGAGAGAGAGAGAGAGAGAGAGAGAGAGAGAGAGAGAGAGACATCGATGAAAGATACATGCCCCGACTGGGGATCAAACCCTAGATCTGTGCCCTGACCAGGAATGGAACCTGTGACCTTTTGGTGCACGGGGCAATGTTCCAACCAACTGAGCCACCCCCGGCCAGGGCAATGGAGAGTATGTTGATGACTCCAGGTTTATAGATGAGAAAAGCAAGCTTGAATGAGGTTAAGCCAGTTTCC